GATTTTATTTATTTATTTGACAGAGAGAGACACAGCGAGAGAGGGAACACAAGCAGGGGGAGAGGGAGAGGGAGAAGCAGGCTCCCCGCGGAGCAGGGAGCCCAATGTGGGGCTCAATCCTGGGACCCTGGGATCATGACCTGAGCCAAAGCAGACGCTTAACAACTGAGCCACCCAGGTGCCCCTGCATGGGCTTTTATTATTGCACAATAATAAATAATAATAATAGTATTATGGTTAAAAGACTCAGAATAGTACTGTGGTTAAGAGCAAAGACTCTGGAACCAGACTTCCTGGGTTCAAATTCACTTCTATCATTTATTAGCTGAATGATCTTGGACAAGATTTTTTACCTAATTTTGCTTATCTATATAATGGGGATATCTCATAGAGTTGATCTGACAATTAAATGAGCTAGTACATGTAAAATGCTTCTAGCAGCACCTGACAAGCAGAAAGTAGTGTATATATTTGCTGCTATTGTTGGAAGTATCCTTATTATTATCTGCCATAGGAACTAACACCCTTTTATAAATTTGGAATTCTCCCCCCCCCTTTTTTTTTTACATTATCTGGATCTACAGTGTCTTGGGTGTAGTAAGAATGAACAATTCTAAGGTTTTGTGACTCTCTTTCTGCCTGTGTATTGAGTGACTAGGCCTTAGGACTCAAATCAGACATTTATAAAATGGATTTTATACCATACAGGGATATATTTTCTTATGGTATTGTCAGGCTGATTAGTGTTGGTTTCAGTTTTCTCCAGGACTGTATTATGACATCCTTACCATGTCCTAGTAGTTGTGAATTATAGATCCAGAGAATATATTCAACAGGTGCTTATTTTATGATTAATATGTGAACAGAACAGAGCTAGTAATATTTGGTTCTTGACTTTAAGGGACTTGCAGTCTAGAGGATGACTTGAAGAAACTGAAAAAGAAGAGGTTTTTTTTTGGTTTTGTTTTATTTTTTTAAAAAACAAAATAATTAATTCCTTCAGTCTTTCATTTCTAGGCAGATATTTATTAAGTACTTCTGGGTGCCAGGCCAAGGTCTTCATAGTCTCTGTTTCCATGACAATTTAGTCATTCCAAAGATGAATAAGACATGGTCATTGCTTATGCACTGTTTTGGTGAGGTAGACTCCATTGTTACAATAAAGAGCTAAATAAGCTTGGATGGCAGTGTCTGAGGTGCAGTGGAGTGGTCAGTTCTTCCATGTGGGTGGAGGTAGGAGTCAGAAGGGATTTCACAGAGGAGCTGAGCATTGAACTGAACTCTGAAATGTAAGTAGTGCGCTCCAGGCATTTGGGAGGCTGATGGGTGCTGTAAACAGCAGTATGAACCCTTTATAAACTAGACCGTGAGCTCTGTGAAGTTGGTGCATCTCTGCCTTGCTTACTTCATGATTCCCCAAGCATAGCACAGTGGCTAATGTAAAATTTACGCTCAGTAAATACTTGTAGAATGGATATAATGAATGAATGAACTGCAAACGGTTTGGTCTTAACTGAAGGGTGCAAGGTGGTGCATTGAGAAATAAGATTATCTAAACATGGACCACAGTGGGAAGAATCATACTAAGGAATTTGGACATTGTTTGCAGGAAATGCCTAGCCACTGAAGTTTTTTAGTCAGGGGTATAAAAGGTCTGTTGTCTTGGGTCACTGTCATAGCAGTATTGAGGATGGATATGATGAGTATGAATGGAAATAGGTAAGTCAGACATCTAAATAGTAGCCCTAAGACTTTTGTTAAGACGAACGAGTCTTACTTAATCTTCTCACAAATACCATAGATCCAAAAATCTGTTTTCAGAGAGCGAAGAAAGGGGTAAGGGATAAAAAGTAGAATTCATTTGCAAATTTTAATGTTTATTTTGGGTTAGGAGCTTCTTCAAAAAATCATAGATCTGAGGATTGAAAATCACCAGCCTATAAGCAGTAAATTTCTGTTTTCCCCTTTTTACATATAG